TCAGAAATAGACTTGCAGGGGGTGTGGGGCTGTGATAAAAAGAAACAGGGTGTAAGGTGCTGATGCAGAGGTCCTCATGTTGAGTGATCTTTAGGGTGACTGGGTACAAAGGTGGGGCAGGATAGGATGAAGCAGGGCTGGGGAGTCCTTGCCCCTCCTAATGTTGTTGAACAGTTTCCATCATCCCTGACCATGCAGGCTGGGGCTGGTGGCAATTGGGGTCCAACAACACCACAGTTTCCCCATCCCTGGGATAGAACGGCAAGTGCAAATTCTCATGTAGACAAGAGTGAGTGAATATTCCCACTGAATACCTGGGTTTTTGCACAACTGTAAAAGAAGCCCTGTCCTCTTTTATATTTGGCAGTTTTAGTGAAGGTTGCAAGTGCTCCTGAGCCATTTCAAGTCGAATCACCTCTGGGAGATGGTGGTGGGTACAGATTGAAAGCTGGACTCTACACTGTCTTCCCTCGAGGCTGTACTTGCTTTTAAGTTCCTCTTTATGGGAGTTAGATCATCATTGACAGTTTACTTGTGTAACAGGGGAGCCAACTTGGGCCCCAGGTTATGGGTACCCAGTGCGCGTGATGTCATGACATCATTATGTGACATGACATCATGCGCACCCCCCGTCCTTAGAACCTGACTTCCGGTGGCCTGAGGTTCCGAGACCTCAGAAAGACCTCAGAAAGCATCTCCGAGCACTCGGATGTGACTTCTGGTGCTTTGCGATGCACCAGACATTGCATCAGGGACCCTGTGGCATGGGTGCTCAGCACCCACAACTATAGATGGCACCCCTGTAGCATAACTAGTCTGTATGGAGGTGTGTCACCTAACACACTACAAGTCCCAGCATGCAATGCCACGCTATTTGGGTTAGGAAAAGCCCCCAAGGTGTGCCATGGTTTCTGGGCTACCCACTGGTTTGGACAGCTCCATGGTGAGTAGAAGGCAACAGCTCCTAACATGAGGATGCTATGCTGGGAACTAGGGATTTCCGCCTGCTATGCAGCTATTAAAAACCCTGCACAGATGCACCTGAAGAACCAATTCAGTGCTTCTGCTTGTACATCCAACTGTGTCCACACAACCTTGACCTTGCTGCCACCGCAACACTGTCCAGGTAAGCTGTAGTGTTGCTGGTCTTAGCAGGATAGCTCTGCCCCACCACACGAGCCGCAATTGGCTATTAAATACCTTCCCCTGCCCTGCAGACTCTACAATTTGCCTCAATCCTCTGCATGTACACCAAAAAGATATATAATAATTTGACCTGCTAAGAAAGCACATTGCCATGCAAATCCTTGGTCTTTAAACATTTAAAAGTTCCCCTGCTCTGGCCAGAAAGCACATTCGATGCTGGGATGTGTAGTCTCTCGATGCTTCAGCTCCATTTTGAAGGAGGACAACCTTGAATGCCTTATACCTTCAGAGAGCCAGAGCTGATCGAGATTTATGCTTTGCAGCCAAATAAAGAAAAATGAGCAATTGGACTGCACTGGAACAGAATGAAATTGAGTAGCTAAGGCAATGGAACAGTACAGCATAGGAGAATAAATTACCCCCCCCCCTAAAAAACACACCATCAGTCAGTGTAGACAGTAATGACAATGGTCCAATGATATAAGCCAGCTTCCTTTGCTTCTATTTATTAGTGTGGACATGATTATGATAGTGGTATTTAGGCGATTGTATTGGTTTGCATTAATACCCTCAAGGTAACTGGACGTTGGGATACCAAAAGGAATGAGGAAAGTATATAAGGCACAATAAACAAGGCATTTTTAAAAGCCGAATATTATGGGTACAACCTGCTGCTGTGTGGCCTCTGTTTGTATCACTGAGACTTGTAGAGTTGAGCAGATGGTACAGATTACTTGTTGGAAGATGGCAGCTGGCATACTTGACCAACCCAGAACGCTTGTACAATCTCCAAACAGGTTGACAGTTCCTGTGTCACCACAATAAGCTCTTGTCCTGCACATGTTTAAATCACTTCCCCAGTGCCCGTACTCTCACTGGATGACTTTGTGGCACCTTCCTGCTAGTTGTGCATTTGCTTATTCGTGTGCAAGACAATTCATGAGGTCAACAGTATATAATGAGGCCGGTGATTTCAGAAATATCTTAAGTCTGGCTCAACATCCATCCTATAAATGATGAACAGTCAATGGGATGCTAACATTTGTCGACGATCAACCGTAGAAATCTGTAGGAAGAGTAAGGTCAAGGCTATACCAGCATGACTCTCTAGATGTTGTTGGACAGCAACTCACATCAGCCCCAGCTTAGCATGGCCAGTGGTCAGGGATGATGGGAGCTGGGAGTCCAGCAGTATCTGACGGCCACAAGTTGCCAGCCTCTGAGTAGGCATTTCAAACAGTGCCTCTTCCATGCCAAACACACAGGGGGGGGGGGAATGGGTATCTGGTCTGATGCATTGTAAACAAAATATTTTATTGTAAGTTAACTAATATATAGTCATGGTGTGATAAATTAGTAAAAAGAAGTGAAGAGCATGCACGAGACAAAATTAAGCACCTTTAAGCTCCTCTGATTTCACTGGGAGAGCCAGGCACATTTTTAAGGCTGCAGTCCTATGTGCAACTTACCTGGGAGTAAGCCCCATTGACTACACTTGCTTCTGAGTAAATTTGCATAGGGTTGTGTTGCGCCTCTTCTGTTGATTTCAGTGAGTTGTAAAGGTGCTTAACTTTGCCTGGATTAGTGCCCTTTAATCTTGTTGCAATAGCAGCCTTTTTTAAATAGCCATTTCAGAAAAGTGGAATAATATGGTTGCAATGATATTGAGAAGGCGTAGCAATCTAATTTTTAGCCTTCGTTTTGATTCCCACTAAGCCTTTTAATTATTCTAAATTATTTCTCCTTTAGTCTGTAGTGAGTTTGTTCAATAAATAACGTAAGTAGCCTTAGCAATGTATGATAAGACCCTGTCTGATATGCAGCTATACAACGGGTGATGCTTGCTTAGCCCTTAGATTTCAAAAGTAACCATGTTAACAAGAGAGTGTTTGTATTCAGAAAATAAGATGTTTCCTTCCCCTAAATTAAAAACACACACAAACTACCATTCTCATAAGCTCACAAACATGCTGCAGCCCATCGACAATATATTATTTTAAAGCTTTTCCAAACGTAGTTTAGCTAACATTTTAGAAATATTATATTATTTCTAAATCCATGTGCCTGTTGAAATCTCATTATCTCAGATGATACTGACGGAATGTCATGAAACAGTATCATGTAATACATACAGACATTATTTTGATGCAATAAACATGTGATTTTTAAGGCTCTCTTAACAAACACACATGTTTATTCTTTGCTAAAACATGTTTCTAGAAGTGCCACACCTATTTTTTGCAAGTATTTCCTCCTTGGTTTCCAACAACGATGTTCAAAATGTTTTCCCAATATTATCCTTTTCAATAATAATAATAATAATAATAATAATAATAATACACACATATATTTCAGACGATCTGATGCTGCCGCTGTTGCATTGTTTTTCTCCTTCCATAGCAAATTGCATCTAATTTCGCAGAACTGTGAAACATGGGTGTGCCACTGAAACATGCATTTTTATATTTTTGCTCCTTATGAACCAGATAACACATGAGATGCAATGGAAAATTTCCCCACAAGTAGCAGTTTCTGAATTGCATTTTTTCCCCAAGCATGGAAGTGAACTGTTGCTAGATTTTGCAAGATGCACTAGTTATTGGTAGAGATTGCATCTCATGTGGGATGTATCTGGAGTTTTATTATTTGTTTTATAGTGTCATTTCAATGTAATGTGCTGTTCTTTGTGTCTTTGTTGTCTCTTTTTTTTCTTTGTCCCCCCAACAGCATTTTGTCCCGCACAGGGAAGAAGGAGAACCAAGATGCCTCCAATTTGACAGTGCCCATGACCATGTGTCTTTTTCCTGTGCCATTCCCACTCACCCCATCTCTAAGACCACAGGTCAGTTCCATCAACCCTACTGTTACTCGCTCCCTCCTTTACAGCGTCCTGCGAGATGCTCCCACTGAACGCGGCCAGCAAAGTCGTGATGCTCAGTTATCAGACTACCCTTCATTGGACTATCAAGGACTATACGTGACATTGGTGACTCTGCTGGATCTAGTTCCTTTGCTACAACATGGTCAGCATGGTAAGTGGACCTTTTGAATCCTTACAGACTGCTTGGGGGCATGACATCAACACTAGGTTTGTATGAATGAGAAAAAACAGATTTAAAAAATAGGCTTGAATTGGCACGGATCCAAATTTTGTATCTTGTTTCTGTACTGTAGATACACCATTATCTACACTGGGCTTATGTCCTTAAGAAAACCTTAAATCAGCAGATATCTAGATGTTTTATGTTTTCCAAATTTGACGGATCCAAGGACAGTTATAATGTATTTGTGTAGAGATATGTATCTAAAAATGTTGTCTTAGATTCTAGAGGCACTCTACTCTTCTCTGCAAGTGCTTTAGGAATGGAGTCTTTCTGTGTTTATTTATTAATATTAGTTATTAAATTAATATACAGTTGTACCTTGGTTGACGAACGCCTTGCGACTTGAATGTTTTGGCTCCCGAATGCCGCAAACCCGGAAGTGAGTGTTCCGGTTTGCGAACGTTCTTTGGAACCTGAACGTCCGACATGGCTTCTGCGGCTTCCGATTGGCTGCAGGAGCTTTCTGCAGCCAATTGGAAGCTGCGCCTTGGTTTCTGAACGTTTTGGAAGTCGAACAGACTTCCGGAAAGGATTCCGTTTGACTTCCGAGGTACGACTATACCACCCTTCAAGATCTCAGGGCAGTCCACAAGTGTTGTGGGATCCAGACGTGTTATCGGGGTCAGTCTTGCCTTAACCTACTCCCACTCACCCCAAATCTCACATAGGACACTGCCTTATCCCGAGTTCAAATCATTGATCCATCTAGCTCAGTATTTCTTTCATTGGGTTTCAGACAGGAGTCCTAACCGGAGGCGCCAGAGATCAAACCTGGGACTTTCTGCATCCAAAGCAGATGTTTTTTCCAATGAGCTATGGCCCTTCCCCAAGCTTTCCTCATCCATTCTGCCAGCCATTTTAGGCTGGCTGATTTCATTCGTTCTCTCTCACACAAATATACACAACGTCCCAGTGGCTTCTCTCTGCTTGATGGCTCGCTGCTGTGAACGAACAAGTTGGCCCAGCTGTGCAGCATTGTGTCTGCACTGGCACAAGTGTTTTCCTTCTGGTGTTGGATTTACAAAGGCTTCCTCAGCCATCTAAGCCATCGCTTGACATTGCAGCTATCAGGGACTCAACATGCAAAGCAGCCCCTTTTAAATAGACGTTCTTGCCCTTCTTTCATTGCAAATTCTGCCCTGCTTCACTTTCAACCAGAAGGTGTAGTTGGCCCTTATTTCCTGTATATATATCCACTGTGTCAAGCCTCCCACAGCTTTAACGTCTTCTGATCTAGGGTAGTTGTGGGACAGGAGAAGGCCCAAAGTTTGGAGGGACCAGTCTGGGTACTGGAAACTTGTGTTCTGAGCTTAAGTACTCAGCTTCCCCTAAAATGCCTTAGCTGCACTCCCTCACCCTTAGTGGCAGAGAACATGCTTTGCAAGCTCAAGGTCCCAGGTTGAACCCTCAGGATCTCCAGGTAGCAGCTGCTGTTCAGTGCCTGAGGCACTGGAGAAAAACCACCTGGCAGGGTAGACAGTACTGGCTTATGTGAACCCATGGCTCAGTTTGGCGCAGCTCCATGTGTTCAGAGACAGGCTGCACCCACAGCATACATTTAAAGCACCGTTATACCACTTTAACCAGTTGTAGCTTCTCCCGAAGAATCCTGGGAACTGTAGGTTCTTAAGGGTGCTGAGTGACCAAGAGACCCCTGTTCTCCTCACGGAGCTACAGTCCTCACAGTGGTTTAGCAATCAAGCTCTCTTTTCAGGGAATTGTAGCTCTGTGAGGAGAAAGTAACTATCAGCAGCCTTGGCAAAATTTACCCAGGATTCTTTGGGAGAAGCCATGGCTGTTTAAGGGGATGTAAAAGTGCTTTAATGGTGCGGATGTGTTCCCTTTTGCTTGACTAGTGTCCTTGGGAGAAGCCATCTTCTATAGAGACAGGAGCCTTAAGAAAGGCATTTACTTGAGGAAATAGGTATCTGTCAGAAAGTTCCTCTGGAAGTTTAGTCGGAAGCTCATTTCTCATAACTTGAAGCCATTGGTTTGGGTTCCATTTTCCATGTGACAGCCCTTTAGATATTGGAAGATGGCTGTCTCCTCTCAGTCTCTTGTTTATCAGGCTAAACATACCCAGTTCCCTCAACCATGCCTCATAAGGCTTGGTTTCCAGACCCTAGATAATTTTGGTCACTCTCTTCTGCACACATTGCAGCTTGTCAATATCCTTTTTAAATTGTGGTGCCCAGAATTGGACACTGTATTCCAGGTGTGGTCTAACCAAGGCAGAATAGAGCAATACTATTACTTCTCTTGATCTGGACACTAAATTTCTATTGATGTTTTTTTGCTGCTGCATCACACTGTTGACTCATATTAAGCTTGTGGTCTACTAAGAGCCCTATATCGTTTTCACATGTACTACTGTCAAGCCAGAGTTCCCTCAACCTATATTTGTGCATCTGGTTCTTCCTGCCTAAGCGGAGAACCTTACATTTGTCCCTACTGAAATTCATTTTGTTGGTTTCGGCCCAGTTCTTCAGTCTTTTAAGGTAATCTTGAATCCGGATTCTGTCCTCAGCCACCTTTGCTACTCCTCCCATGTTGGTGTAATCTGCAAATTTGATAAGCATCCCAAGTTGTTTACAGTGAGGTTGAACAACAATGGACCCTGGGGCACCCCACTTTTGACTGTTATTGCATGAAGTCTGGAAAGGAATTGAACCACCGTGTTTAGAGATACTACCTTTGACAAGCAACCATGTGGGGTGGGGAATGTTATTGTAGCCAAGAGAATACTGTAATTATAGTAATACATACAGTGTGTTAAATATAGTGACGTATCTTTTAATAGCTTTTTTGCTTTGCGACAGATCACTCTGTGATGGATAGCATTGGTCAAAAGTGTTTCTGCTGTAGATTTTGTATTCCTTGATTATGTATACTGAGGTTGCAGGTCTGTGCTTCTCTATTTAGGACACTGATAATACCAAAATCATTGGCGTAAATCAGCAAAACTGTTATGTTCAATTGCATTCACAGTCCCTTTGGGATCCTCTCATTCAGAAATTCTTGCAGAAGGAGCAGTAATTTGATTTTGCCTTAAAGTTTGGGAGCGATCCAGCCAACAGGAGATCATTCCAAGTCCTAGTTTGGTTTCAATTGCATTAAGTGTCCCATTGAAATCAATGTAACTTGGAAGTGCTTTTAACTTTGGAAATTTTACGCGCCCTGCAGTGCTATAGCTCAGTGGCAGATCATCTGCCTTGCATGCAAAAGAGCCGAAGTGCAATCCCAGGCACCTCCAGGTAAGGCTGGGCAGACCCCTATCTGAAACCCCACAGTTACTGCCAGTCAGGATCAACACTATTGAACTAGACAGACCAATGGCCTGACTCACAGGGAGCTTCCTGCTTTCCTAAAATCCAGACAAACAGTCACCACTGGTGCCTAATGAACTGGGCTTGGTACTTGGCTTGTTGCTGAAGAGGCCAGGAAGCTGGTTCCTCACTTTTTCTAAATGTGTTGGACCAGGCCATGCCTTCCTCCTCTCACTCACTTCCATCCTTCCTTTGTTCTCCTTTCTCCCTCATCCATACTGCCTTTTCAGTGCAGTTTGGCTTCTGGTGGCCTCAAGATGATGGTCTAGCAGCAGAGGCAGACCTCCATCCACCTCCTGCTCCTTATAGCCCCTCCTCACTTCTACCGGATCCCATCAGCAACTGCTAGGGACTATCCAAGGCCTGGACAAATGGCACTACCCAAAATGGGCTTATGGGCACTCAGGGTGGCTCAGCCCTGGGCAGAGCAGCCGCTGGGTCAAGCATTATTTTGAAAGGACTAGACAGTTTCCTCCAATTTCTGTTGTAAGCCTCCCTCCCTCCCTCTCTTGCCTCCCAGTTCTCCCTGTGCCCCAGAAGGACTCCTTTGGTCATAAGTGACCTTGATCGGATCTATCACAGAAAGCTATAAAGCAGCTTACCCCCACCTGATACCCCACCTGCAGATGTTTTGGAGGGGGACCAGGTGGTGTGGGAAGGTTGATATAATACGTAGGACGCCTTCTCCCGCTTTGATGGTGGCCATGCATTCACTGTTGTCTGTTTTCTCTTCCTCTTGGCAGATCTCGGACAGTCCATTTTTTACACAACCACGTGCTTGCTCCCGTTTCTCAATGACGACATCTTGAGCACTTTACCATATACCATGATCTCCACATTAGCCACGTTCCCGCCCTTTCTGCACAAAGACATCGTCGAGTATCTCAGCACCTCGTTCTTGCCCATGGCTATATGTAAGTGAATTCCAAAAGAAAAGGGTGGTGGAAAAACACTTGTGTGTGATGTGAGTGTATTGTATAGGATTAACCGGCCTGTAGAAACAACCCCAAGGCATCTCCTTGTCCTACATAAAAATATTGAGTATAAATTTTATAGTTACGATGCTCCCAGTGGAATTCAATGTTGTGCTATTACAAATGTTTTGTATCAGCCTGGCAGATGGAACAATCCCCCTTCCCTTTCTCTCGCATCCTCTTCTGGGGGTTCTCCTGATTCCCCCTGAGCCAATTTCAGGTGGTTTATGGTGTGTTTGAGGGAACAGAAGCCCTTATGCAGGGCTTTCGCTGACAGGCTTTGTTAGGTGAGTGGTGGAATTTGCAATTTTGCAAATAAAGTGGCATTCTGCGCCAAAGCCTGAGGAAGGATGGCTTTGGGAAATCAAAAAACACTATTGTACCAAAGCCTGTCAAGAGCTCCTTACCGACTTGAATGTTATGGGGCTTCCTATGGATATGCCACTGATTCAGGAACTTCATTGGTGCAAAACACCTCTCATGCCAAGGTCTCCTTTATTTATCTGTAAAAGTATCTGTACGCTACCTATTAGATGACAATGTGCAAGTTAAAACGATAAAAGCAGAGAGAGTAAAATCAGAGTAATATAAATAAAATACGAATGGTAACCCCAAATCCAGAAAGGGTGTAGTGCACAGGTATGTTTTTCATAACAAGTGCCAAAATATCATCTTGGAACTTGTCAGAGTTCTGAGGGGGCTACCACAGAGAAGGCCCTACCCCTGGTTTTCATACCCAGGATACATGGCAGTTCATAAAATACAATGGTTTGTGTCTGAAGTTAGTCATACTCAGTGTAAACCCATTGAAATTTCACATACAACCCGTTATTTTTAAGACTCAGAGTGGTGCTGATTTGCTGTTAATGTGTAGAAAAGGTAATTCTGGAGAGGCATCAGAATTCACTTTCTGTTTACTACATCAGTATTCTGAGGAAATTCTGTTTGTGGTACTGCACCCTAAAGAAAATCATAGGGTGTGTGTGTGACCTGAAAACCGACATTTTTCAGAATACTCTTCCCTGTGCCATACACAAAGCAGCAACCAGCAGTTGCTTCAGATGTCTGGTTCAGATGGGCTCTCCCTGACCCATGAGACTGGACCCTGTTTTATCTGCTTAAATCCCCTGAATTTTTGTTTCATTTGCTTTTATATGCAATTGCGTGTTTTCATAATGCTGCTTTATTGGTTTTTTGGATGTATTTTTGTTTCAATAACTTTTTAAATATTGTATACAAGGTTGAGAATAGAATATTAAGTAGTTTATAAATGCTTTTCAATCTGTCACTGAATCAGTACGCTAATAATAGTGGAATACTTTTTCTGCCCTCTCTTGGCTTCATGTCTACATTTTCCTCTTACTTATGGAATAGTTCTCCAAAAAACAATAGTCAACATTAACTCGTGCATGTAAGATGATGGGAAGAGGTATTTTATTTTTTTTCTCTGCCCATTATGCATCTACCTTTGTATTTGACTTGTGTTTTCAGGACCCACCCTATTTCCAGGACTGTAATTTTAATAA